CTCTCTCCTCTGGGACCTTCAGGTCAGGACAAAAACTTCGCCTCATGTCACATACGATTTGTAGGTGACATTTTGCTTAAATTATTATTTCTATGGGCGCCCGATTAATTATTCCTTGAGCTGCGTCACATTGAAAAATACAGAGGCTTTAAATCCTTCTCGTTGAAACTCACGTTGGGTGTTTCACCATATATCAATTTTTACACTTTAGAAAAAAATATATGTTTTTCCTAGCATATCTATGGATTTTAAACGCGATTACATTTTGATCTGTAGAGCTGGAAACTAGAATATGGTGAATTTTATAGATTTATTTGGAAAACATTTTCTTTCTTAGACCAGATGTAGAATCTCCATATTAAAAAGGTTACCATGTTATAGGGAGCGTGAAATGTATCATATCTTTCAGAATATTGATTTAAAGTGGCATCTATACAAATATTTATAAAATATACCTAATTTTTATTGTCTTGAATCAACTTGTCACTGTAATAATGATGATGTGAAATAAATGAAGTTCAGTTAGTGATAATAACTGCTAATTGTAAGTCACTTCTTTATATGTATCTATGAATGCGACATTTCTTGACCTGTATTACATTGTATAGGCAAATTCAGTAGGACCTGTGGCCAGTGTCCATCAGAAATTATTGGACCACAGAGCAGTGCTATCAAGGTAGTGGACACCAGCGAGACTCACGGTTAGCTTAACTAAGTGCCTACACGCAGATCAGGAGTAAAAGTGCCTCAGATATACAAGATTCGCAAGAAACTTTTCTAGTACGTTTGTTGTCGTTTATCTGCTTATTAACATCTTTACATTTTTGTACACATATTACTTTTTAAGAATAAAATTAGTTCATATCCTCTGACGAAAACTCTGCTGCATCTTGCATGCAGTTAATCTAAGTCTATTCATTTCTCTTTAGTAATTATATCACTTTTGAACAGATTTATTTCTTAACCTAATAAAATCGGTGAGATTTCACTATTATATACACGAGTTTTTTTCATTCATACAACACCATAAATATCCGAAGAGTCTACTAGGAAGTAAACCCCATTGAAGAAATGGTATTGCTAGTAGTAAAAATTTCCTATAACAAATCTCATCCCAATCATCGAAAGCATTAGTGACTTACGGTTCTTCGATAAATCACATCACTATATCGAAACTGGCGAGATTCTATTCCCTCTGCATTCTAAAAAAAACCATACCTCCACTCTTTCATAATGTACACCATTTCCCAATCTCTGTCTCCCGGAGAACATATTAAACTAAATAAATTTACAAACCCATGCATTGTTAGTAAACCGGTAAAAATAATAAAAATTAAGTTATAAAACATTAATTCCCATTTTGCAGAAGAGTTCATAAGTAAAAAACTTCAGGGTTAAACATTTACAGACAAATATAAATAAATCTATTGTGATACGTATCCCAACCTCTGGGTACAGAGAATACAAATTGTGTGTACAAGATTGCTGTAGATTTTCACTCGTGAAAATGCATCAATGTTTTATCAGATTGAGTTGTAACCTTTAAATAAAAGTAAAAAGAATCACTTAACGCTACAGTTCGCCGTTTATGTATTATATTTATAAATTATTATTAAGATTTAAGAAATTCCTTACTATATCAGTCTCAAATGAGATTTTACAATTCAATGCGAGACGCCAGTCGAACGAGTATCACTGAAATTACACTGGACTGAATTATTAAGTATTTACGCATTCTATGAAGAAAAGAGAAAGTTACCAAGTGCTTATGAATGTAATCAAACTAACAGATGGATGAGCTCGTCATTAGGTTAATCAGCCATAAAAGTAAAATGTTCATAGAATTTCTTAATAATGAATTGAACAAGATACTTTGCAACTTTAGAGGTTCTTCGGTTCTCATTTTTACTCATTTTCGATATTATAAATTGTGCTTATCAAAGCTTTATTTCTTAATCTTAAATTTTAAATTAAACCATTTCCGTCTTATTTATTGTTGGTGATCAAAATTCCACCATTACGATATTATTACGGAAACCCCCTTACCAAATCTTCCCAAATTCTCGGAGTTTGCAAACCACAGTTTGGAAACCGCTGATAACGAAAATGGGGTTTCACAGAAGCGTTAACGTTTAACCTTGCGCACTGACATTTCCTTTCAATGAAACTACATTTTAATAAAGAATCAGAAACGCTCATCGCGTGCAAATTCAGCAGATAGAAGAAAATCGACACAGTAACTTTGGCCACAGCTTGATTCGCGTTGCATCAAAGCTTAAATAAAATAATCTGCGATCGCCATGTAGCTGAAGCTGGAGTTGAACTTACGGGCACTTGCTTGCAAATCCATTTCAAAGCGAGCTCCCAGAACGAACTGCTCTCACGCCGACGAAACACTAAAGCGCCAGCTCCAGAAATTCCGTTCTCACCCGAAGTGAAGGTGACTCAACTTACGTCGCTCCTTTTCTAAACAATGACCAATGAGAGCGGTGCGTCAGATTTCCGATATCGCTTCGGATACGTAGATGAACCGTTTCCGCAACGCTTATTCAACCGTAAAAGATTCGCCTGAGGGAATTGGTGAATCCTAAAGGGGCGCAGCGTAAGAAAGCCGCAGCGTGCTACTGTCTCGCCAACCAGTTGCTGCGACGGCGCAGAGGAACGTGACGGACGCCGGACCACGCCCTTGCGACCGCCTCACGTGACGGACGATTATAGACGCTAGGTAAGGGTGACCTCTCAGAGTCAGGGAGCACGCAACTGGAGGCGATTATTAAAACATGGAAATGAAATCACACGTTTTCAGTGGGACAACTTTAAATATACTGAAATTAACATTAACAAGGGATACATTACAGAAGTTCACTTTACATGTAAGAAGAATACAGTTTGATCATAGTAAATACAGCCTTGTATTCCACGTAATACAATAGTTTTTTGATTATTAAATGTTATATTGTAACAATATTTAATTGAATTTAATAAAACACAAATGTTATTCATGAATGTATGTAACTTCTCCCCAGAACGTCACACAGTTTTTAACTGTTTTTCGTCGTAAATAAATAAATATATAAATCTTATACTGAAATTTGTTGTTTTGTATGAGCGGGCGTTCGTGCGTGTATGAAAGCGAGTGCGCGGGGTATCTGAAATAGACGTTTGCCAGGACTTGTAAAATTACCTTGCCATTGGAATTACAAGAAATTTGCGAGATATTTTTGTTGTCAAATGTTGCCTACAACTCTAGTTGTATCTACCTCCCGAGGAAAAGCATGCATTACACTAATGGTCCTAGCCGTTGAAGCCCCCGGAATCACTAACAACACTAGGGAACCAAATTTGTTTTTCATTCCTCCACGATGAAAGTAGGTGATTTGAAAGGAAACGATCAAGCTGATTTCAAAAATCATTATTAAAAGTTTCTATCAAGCAAAGTTCAAAAGATAAGAATATATTTAGTATTTGAAATAAACAAAATCATTTACAGCCGGTCCGGATGGCGAGATCGCGATGGCAGTAGTGTCGTAGCGATCTCGGACCGAAGGATCGCGGGTTCGAGTCCCACCTCAGGCATGGTTGTATTGTGTTCGTGCTTTCACTCCCTATCATCATCATCATCATCATCATCATATCGTGCCTTCCTCGTAGTTACCATATCAATACACATAATAGTGGTCGCTAATGTCCTAGAAGTTGATGCGACCTTAAGTAACAACAACAAAAATCATTTACTAATTTCCACATGATCACTCCAGTTATATTACTACAAAAGAGTATGAACGTGCTTCATATGATGTAATAAGAAGTTCAAAATGGAATACGCATATTCGAACTGTCGTTTCCTGTCGCAAAGGATCTCTCTGATTAATGTCATTACAAGAGTATTGCTGTGAATCAATAAGTCAATCATTATAAATTTCTCAATAACTGGTTTATGCGGAAATATATTGAATGTTTTGGCGAAATTGACTATTACAGCATCTATCCTTTCCCCCACGACAACTTCGTCAGCTAACTCTTAACAGAGAGAAACAACTTGAGTTTCGCAAGGGAATCCACTGATCTACTTTCCTCATGAAAAATCCAATTTGTCTTCCCGTTCGCATTGTATATATTTCGATATTATGTTTTTCATTAATGTACACACAACGGAAGAGAGATACCAGTCGGTAAAAAGACAATTTTATTGCCACCTTTCAATATCGGTATAATAAGAGTTCATTTGCAGTATTTCTGCACGCTCACGTGGTTAATAGAATCGCTACCCACCCTTACTATGTTTGGGGGTAAAATAGCGTCTCGGCATATTTTGATAATATCTGTCGAAATTTCATTCGTTCCGCGCGACATAATGATACTTAATAACATTTTACATAATTCATATTCAAAATAGGAAGAAGGTGTAATCCACGAGATTTCCAAAAAAATCTACTTACTCTCTTCTTTTCCATCCATTCTTTCAATTTATGGAAAAAATCTGTCGTCAATAATGTGCATATGCAATGTTGTTTTCTTGCAATTTTCGAAGATGCAGTGTTTGACGCACATTTGTGACCGGACCTGTTTCATTTGTTAGTTTTTTGCTGTATCCGAGAAAAATATAAAGAAAACTTTTAATCAGTTTTTGAAAAAATAATTGTGTAAAGCTAGCCTATATTTCACGCAAAATCATGTAAAAACTAATATTTTCAAAAATTCTGCATGACCTTATTTTAAAATCTTTATTTGATGAACAGTGCTTTTAATAAAAAATCTCTATCTTCAAAACTGAAGTTGTGGGAAGTCGAAACAAACATTGAACTTTAGAAAATTCAGAGAACGAAACCTGCGTCATTTTAGCGTCGTTTCTTCTATATGACGAAAAAGTTAAGAGAAAGCGCTTAGCCCTATGTTCTGCAAAGTTACATTTTCATATTTTGAGACCCGTTTTCTTAGGATCTGAATTTACTGAATAAACCATTTTTTAATCTCGTCAATAATTATCAATTTAGGAGAAAATCGTCTGAACGGTTTTGGTATTAGCGTTGACCACATCCAGACGAACGGATAGACAAACGTTTTGCCGCCAACCCACTTTCGGTATCGATAATCCACAAAGGATTGCTTCTGATTACTCAATGTAATAGAGGAAGCATTTTGCTACACATTGAAACATTATTTATGGTCTCTTAAATACATGGGCCCCAAAATATGAGTTTTTCTATAAAAAATGGCAATATTTGACGTAGAATCACAATACTATCTCTTTATTACGTAAACGCGTAGTAAAATACGACAGTGGTGAGAAAGTAAATGTAGTGAGGATGCGAAATGGAGTTCAGACAATTTGTAGAATATAAGCAAGAAAAAAATATAAAAATCGATTTTTCAATCGCTGTTTTTGGAAACCCTCTACCTTTATGTAAAAAAGCGAGAAAGTTAATAAAATTTCTGGATGTTACGGAAGATTCCTCAAACGGAACACGTCTTTCTTTATCTCTACAAGATATCTGTCAGATTTGGAATCATCATTTTCATTCATTGCGCATTAAGTTTTTTTTTTAGTAACAGTAATAATTTACTTTAGGAAGATTTGAAAAAAGTCTGTAGGGAATAAAAGCATAATTGGAGGCGTTATTTTTATAGTGGTACTACTCTTCTTTTACAGAAATTGAGTTCACTCCATTTTCAGGCCAAGCAAGTGCTTTTACTTTTATTCTAAAAGTGACAACTCCTAGTTCTTTCTGTGGACGACATAGCGCTTCTCAATAAAAGTGAATCGCAAATTATTGATTGTTAGTGATTCTGGGCGCACCAACCGTTAAATTTATTAGTTCCGTAAGTCTAGTGCATGCTTCCCTCTGGAGGGTGCGGTGGTCCTTCTCCGGAGGATGGCGACATCCGGCGCCGACCTCACGTCGGCTAGAGGGATTCTCCCAACCAGGTATCTCCCCTAGCCGAGACACGCTCTAAGCTCCCGACCGGTCTCTCGGCATGTGAGGTAGTGTAGTGCATTTTAGTGTAAGGGTGTGTAATCAAGAGTAAGATAGGACAAGGAAGAGGACGAAAGGAACGTGCGCGATCCGTGGCCCGTTTTTTAGGATACTGCTCCGGCATTCGCCTAATGTTGATCGGAGAAAGTCGAGTCAAACCATGCGTGATATCAGGCCGTACCATGCATAACGCAGTGAAACACACCGGGATGAATCTAAATTTCTGAATTTACGAGAAACATTCCTTAAATCTAAACTTCGCTTATTTTTACATTAATGTGTGGGGGGGGGAGGATAGACCCCGGCAGGTCGCGTGCGCTAGGTGCACAATATTGTCACTCGACCAGACAGCACGGGACTTTTGCTTTTGACTAATTACCTTCCGTGTGACACAATGAATGACACCGCAGGCAGCCAGCTGGACAGCCCTATTCTAACCACTGAGTTCGACGAAGAACTGCCTAGATGGTGTAATGCGAACGGTTCGTTGTTTGTTAGCTGCATACACTCCGGCCTTATGAGGTCATAGCTTATTTTCAGTGACTATCTGACCCTAGGACGCTTCTGTGACGTGCACCTAAATATAGATAAAGAGAAGGGATTTCCTGTGGCTTGCGTTGTTTCGACTCTGGATTGGGAAATCTGACTCGAACGAGGAACAATTAAGTTATCGGGAGATTGCCGGGAAACCATTTGCCATCAAAATGTGCGGACATGTCTAATGAGCATTAATGATTTCCAAACGACATTCCACTTAGCTCGTCAAAGAAAACGAGACTAGAGGCCAGAATTATTAAGACTTTCTGAATATTTAGTTCTGAAAAATTCCGAATATACAACTTGTTATAAAATGAAAATCTATCTATTATATTTAAGTTATATCTTCGTAAACAAAATTACATTCGTATAAATGAAATAAATGTTTCATATAAGTACTGTAAAGTAACCTTATCGCTGAAGCTCTAAGTACTTGTAAATTTTTTCCTAATTATCCTATTTTTGAAATATCAATCTCCTGGCTTGATGATTTAATGCGGAGAAAGGTATATTTTGCAAAAAATTTCTTCTCAAAATTTTGACAGAAGTGCACCTCCTTAAGTCCTTAATATCAAAAAATAGTTGTTTTCCAAACACACTGTCCGTCTGTATTAAGTAGTTTTATATGAAGCTCAAAATTTTCACAATTTTCTCATAAACAATCCTAATATTTTTTAAAATTTATTACTTAAATTCCTTTAATTCAAAACACCTTTATAAACGTATCAAAATTCCTATTTTCATTAAAGCATCTGAATTTTCGAAAATACCAATGATCGACTTTTTTATTACCAATTCTGTTATTGAATCGACAATATTGTTAAAGCTTGAACTATTTCTTAATGTATTTGTTTTTTTGAATACGGCGACTTAAAATTATTTTATGTAAAAGTTTTTCACAGCCATAAATCCAATATATTTCACTGTACAATTCTAAAATAAAATGTTGGACTTCCTTTACCGTGGGAAACCATACAAATCACAGAGTAATAGGTACTTAAAAAATAAAAATATATCAATTCTGTAAAATATGATGTAAGGGCCATGTACAAAGCCATGTTTCACTGACACGGTGACGGTCTTTCTTGTGTGGCAACCTACAGAATTGGGGTTTTCAAACCAACACATCAGCGTCTACAATAACACCTCTTGACTCGTTATATTCTCGGATGAACTGTTTGTTCTGTTCAATATGCCAA